ATTAATATAAAATAAAATTTTAATAAGTTTTTAATTACCTTAACAAATTTAATTGGATCATATCCATAGTCAGAAATTAACTTGCAAATAAAATATGGACATTATACAATTTTAAGAAAATTGAAGAATATTCATATTTATATTTTATCTCCCAACACGTGTTCATCTATTAAGCCTTATTGATTATTATCTCAATAAATATCTCCTCCAACTTCAATCTCTATCATCCACGTGTCCTTTCCATGCATTATCTCGATATTTAATTTAAAAAAAAAAAAGAAAAAAAGAAAAAAGAAAAAAATAAAAAGCATATAATCCCAAAACGTTTTCACGTTCACTCAAATGCCCAATCAGTCTCACTCTTCTTCCTCTTCAACTCAGAAAGGGAGGCGACGGTTGCGATGAGAATAGCAGACGATGGTTTTATTGCGGGGGGAGAAAGTGGATATTGATTTATGGAAGGCAATGGAGAAGCTTCAATTCCCCCATCAAAATTTCTGTTTTTTTAATTAAATATTTTTATTTAAATATACTTTTTTTTTTGGGGAAATTTCTACACAATTTTCTGTTCCTAGACCCTACAGATTCACCACAACCACAATTATATTCTCTTCCTCCTCTTTCACCATTTGTTTTTCACCTTTTTTTTTTTTTTTTAATGTTTGTGTGAAAATGAAAAATGGAAAATAAAAAATACCGGTCGAAATCTAGCATACCGTCCGGTATAAACTAAAATACAGGCGGTACGGTATTAGCCTTAATCAGTATCGGATTTGTGTCAATACCGGTACAAACCAGCCGATACGTACAAGATCAAGTGCATTTTTTTGTGATTTGGGCAAAACAAGTGGGCTCAATTAGACAAGCCTGGGCCTATAAACTATGGTTCTAGTGAGCTAGGTCCAGAAGCAAAACTTAACATATTAATTAATGAACTGGCCGAATTCCGGTAGATTTAGTTTTCTAAATATTCGACCAAAATTCTTAAAAAAAAAAAAAATTTGTTGATACAGAGTGCTGAAGAAACAGAATCTCCCAGGCACTCTCCCACCAGGGTTGGTCAGGCTCCCTTACCTTCAAAATATGTAAGTACTTTTCCCAAACATTTTCATAATCAATTACAATTTGCCCCTAATCTTCTCCATAATTACCCATTTTATATTTTCCTTTTTGTACTCTTCTAATTCATCTATTCATTTTACAGTGACCTGTCTCTCAATTATCTCAGTGGCTCAATCCCTGCAGAATGGGGTTCCATGCAGCTTGTCAATATGTAAGTTTCCAGCTTCCTCACATGCATGTTAAGTTCTGCATGTTGTTGTAACAACTGCATAATATACATGTACATAGTTTGTAATAAGGATTTTTATAAACTCAGTTTCCAAAATAGTTATTATTTTGAAAAACAACATTTTGGATAAATTGTTCTATTCATTTTGATCATGCATGCCGAATTTAAAGTTGGTGTAAAATTTTAATCAATTGATGAAAAGAAACCGTATTTTATATATTCCACTATATGTTCATTTGTTTATATATTAATGTTAATGTTGCAGTTCTCTAGTTGGAAATCACTTAACGGGTTTGATCCCAAAAGAGATAGGGAACATAAGTACTCTTCGCTACTTGTGAGTTTTGATCAGTGAATTTTTGTTGTTATTATGGTTTGTTCATGGATATTTAAATTTGATGGGTCTATATTTTTTATATATAAATAATGTATAGCACTGTGGAGTTTAATCAGTTATCAGGACCTTTGCCGCGGGAGCTTGGGGACCTTACCCACATTGAGAACCTGTAAGACTATAGTTTGTTCTCCTGTGTTTGTTGTATCCATTTTTTCATATGTAATTACATTGTCAATGTTGTCGTTTCTAATATTACAGTCATCTTAGCTCCAACAACTTTACTGGAGAATTGCCAACAACATTTGCTTGGCTAACCTCTATGCAGCACTTGTAAGCTTTTAATTTTTTGTTAATTTTCAAGGTTTAGTTTGTAGAATTGCGTAGTTTGTGATCATTTTGACTATTTTTGAAATGATGTAGTCGGATTAGTGACAACCAATTCACAGGAAAGATACCTAGTTTCATCCAAAACTGGACAAATCTTACAACGTTGTGAGTGTTTTAATCAATGTCTTTTAGGATAACCATTTGGGTTTATAATTAAGCCATTTAAATTGGTGTTTTTTTATTTTTGTTACCTAAATTAAACATTTGATAATGTCAGAGTAATTCAGGCAAGTGGCTTAATGGGGCCAATTCCTAACATAAGTGCACTAGCAAGGCTAGATGACTTGTAAGTATGGACTTTTTATTTCAATTCTGCAAATTGGGATATTGTGATTAACAGATTGTGTTGTTTCATTTACAATATGTTTGGGTTGAGGGGAATGAAGGGAAAGGGAGGGGAGGGGAGGGGAACAGATTGTGTTGTTTCATTTACAATATGTTTGGGTTGAGGGGAATGAAGGGAAAGGGAGGGGAGGGGAGGGGAGGGGAGGGGAAGAAAGTCTTTTACTTTATTTTTTATTTTAATTTATTTACTTATCCAAATGAGGGGAGAGGAATAGAAGGATATAATTCCCCTCCTCTCCGTTCCCTTTAACCCAAACATATGGTTACTCTCTACTGAATATTGTCAATATACAGGAGAATTAGCGATTTAAATGGAACTGATCAAGCATTTCCTACACTTACTGGTGCAGCAATGACGACACTGTGAGTATAATTAAATCTACTATGATGCACTTCACATTAACTAAGGCAATGGGTTTTCTTGAACATAAATGATAAATAGATTCTTGTGACTATGTTAATTGCATAGGATATTAAGGAGTTGCAATATCATTGGAGATCTACCCAATTATTTGTGGCAAATGACAATTTCGACAGTTTTGTGAGTGCAGAATTGGTTTCTTCATATCTCTCTAGGAACCATGGAATTATTAATTTAATCTCCTTGCTATGTATTTTTCTTGCAGAGATCTTAGCTTTAACAAACTCACTGGATCAATTCCAAACGCCTCTAATCTTGCAAGCACTACTTACATGTAAGCACATCATCTCTAAGTGACTAAAATTTACTCTCTATTTTACATAAATTTCACCTCTTTTATTTATTTTATTTTTTTATTAGATTGTCGTAAATTTTCTATATTCCTATTGAATTCTTTATGTTAAACATGTAATTAATATCAATTTTTTTCTCTCATTTTAGTTTTTTGACTGGAAACTTGCTCACGGGGTACATTCCTTCTTGGATGCCGGAAAGAGGAAAGAACATGTAAGAATCTGTTTCCAATATTTTATTAAATTTCCTTTCATTCAAAGGAAGTCTCTGACATCTTTTTGTTTTTTTATTAATAAGTAAGATGCTAAAATATTGGTGTCTAGTGCCTTGTTATACATTGAAAGTAACATGTGTAATATTTCTTTATTTGTTAATGGGTATCAACTTTCTCTTTTTTGCTATACAATTTGAATGGAATATAGATGATATGTATATTAATAAGACTATATGCATTTAACCAATTCAAACTGTATATTCAAGTACAGTTTAGAGAAACATGTTAGGAATTGATGAATTATCACTAACCAGTCTACTATTTATTTCTTTTCAGTGATCTTTCATATAACAATTTTACAGTTGAAGCGACATCAAGTTGTAAACAACAGAGTAGTAAACAACAGAATTTGTAAGGATCTAACATCTAAGTTTGCTTATTTTTGGTCAATAAAAGTTAGTGTGCTTAGTTATTGCACAAGAAAATCTTTGTTGTGCTAGTTGATCTTTACATCTTGGTCTTGTTTTCTTATAGGAATTTGTTTGCAAGCTTTTCAGAGACCAATTTGTCGTAAGTTTTTAGCTTCCTTGTCCAAAACATGTCTGGTAAAAATTTATGTGACACCCTTAGGCAAATCTCACACTGAAAAGCATGAGAAAAATGTAAGGTATATAGCTCAAGACCAATTAACCCCTGTTGATACATTTTAAAATTGTGAGATCTGATGGGCTAAAATGGACAATCCCAACAGTGGGTTGGGTTGTTACATATGGTATGACCTCTTGAACAATGGTGGGAAAAACTTCAGCTCCCACACCAACAAAGCGTGGGAGAGACATTGGGTGTATCCTAGGGTTAGATCATTATAATTTCTTTATATTGAAACAAGTTCATTTTGTTGTTGTGATGCTGACATTTTTTGCACCTTTTTTTATTCTATATCAGAGGGATTGTTTCATGCTTGAGAGGGTCTAAATGTCAAGAAAGTAAGTTTGATTAATGTCTTTTACCCATGCTTTTTTAAAAAATGTAATCTTGAATAATAGGTCTTCATACCTAATATTTGGCTTTAACATAGATCTTGAATTTTGTTTCTTATTTTAACATCTAGGGATTGTGAGACTAGGGAAGCAAAGGTTTATGCATTCAAAGCATATATTTTCATCAGTATGCCTGTTAATATCAACATTTACAGTTCAAGTATTTCTTTTTCTTCATATATAGTTTGTGATAAAGTAGATAATTTTTCTAGAATAAATAGCATTGTCCTTAATCTTTCTGTATAGTTTGTTAAATTTGCTAATTTTTCTATTGCATACCTTATATCATTCTTCCTTTCCCTTTGAAAGTTCCTAAATCTTTCTTCAAAAACTCAAACCTGCAAAAGTTTAGCAGTACTCAGCCAATTACTTGTGAAAATTTGATTTTCTTTTTATTTTTCTTCAACAATTTGTGAGTTGTTTGCTTTATGTTCCAGAAAAGAATAATCTCTATATTAATTGTGGAGGAGGTGAAGTAACTGTAAATGGAAATACCACATATGAAGAGGATGCAAATCTAGTAGGACCATCCACATTGTTTGTAAGTAGTGGAGATTGGGCACTCAGCAACACTGGTCGCTTCTTGGATGCTGGCCAAAATGAGCGCAGATTTACCTCCACAAACCAATCTGAACTCTTTATGAAAGATTACCAGCTATACATGGATGCACGCCTTTCAGCCATCTCTTTGACTTATTACGCATTTTGTATGGGTGATGGAAACTACACGGTAAATCTCCATTTTGCAGAAATAATGTTCAGTGATGATAAAACTTATAGCAACTTGGGAAGGCGTATATTCAATATTTACATTCAGGTAGCTATGATTGCTCAACTCCAAAACCTTTTACATTTTAAATACTATTTGTTTGGAACTAGAAAAAAAAGAAAAAGAAGAGAGAAATCAACATATTTTGCATGGAATGTTTAATAGTTTGAATACATGATTGCAGGGCAAGTTGGTGCAAAAGGATTTCAATATAGTGGATGAAGCTGGGGGGGTTGGTAGGGCTATCATAAAAGAGTTTCCTGCAGTTGTGACCAATGGCACCTTGGAGATTCGTTTATACTGGGCTGGAAAAGGAACGACGACCATTCCTGTTGGAGGAGTTTACGGTCCTCTTATATCAGCTATATCTGTCAATTCTAGTAAGTTGTATAATATTTCTATTTGCTTCTTGTATCTGTTTCTTTTTTTCAATTGACATGAAAACCTGCTTTATTGACGTTTACATCATGCATTCATTAAACCTAGTAGTCAAATTGTGCTACATGTTTTCTTATTTTAAGATTCAGTGTGACTAAAGTAGTACATCTTCAGATTTTACACCTTTGGAAACTGGTAACATTGCACCTCGTTTGGAAAAGGGGGACAATACTAATGTATTTATCGGCATGGTGATTGGAATTTTGGTTGGAGTAGCTTTTGCTATCCTCTTGATCATGGGTGTCCTATGGTGGAAATGCTGCTTAAGACAAAAAAACACATTAGAACAAGGTATTGGATTGAATTACAATATTGGCTTTTTCTTTACTTCTTAAAATGAATTTCGTAGTGCAAAGCTTTTTCAAAAAATTATTGTCTTTCCTCTTTATTTTTAGACAAAATGCAGACATGACAAATGCCCATTTAAACTTAATTATAGATACTTGGAATCAAGAGAGTTTAGAAGTTACCTTCCAAATAATTATGTTATCTTGCTTGTCCTTCACAGATTTAAAAGGTTTGAACTTGCAAACGGTTTCTTTTAGTTTAAGGCAGATTAAAGCTGCCACCAACAACTTTGATCTTGCTAATAAGATTGGCGAAGGTGGTTTTGGTCCTGTTTACAAGGTATTATGAACTATAAATTTTCTTTCCTTAATCCTACAAAAAACATGTTTGAATGTTCATAGTATTTTTCAAATGCAGGGCCATTTGACAGATGGTAAAGTTATTGCTGTTAAGCAACTATCAGCCACATCAAAGCAAGGAAATCGCGAGTTTGTCAATGAAATTGGCTTGATTTCTGGTCTTCAACATCCTCATCTGGTAAAGCTATATGGATGTTGTATCGATGGAAATCAACTCTTGCTAATATATGAGTACATGGAGAACAATAGCCTTGCTCGTGCATTGTTTGGTAGGTTTCTAAATGCACTTCATAGTTTAAAAGAAGTAAATGAATGAAAATAGATGCATATTAGCCTTTTCTTTGTTTGGTATTTCTCAGGTCCGGAAGAATGCCAATTGAAATTAGATTGGCCAATAAGACAGAAGATATGCATTGGTATAGCAAAAGGTTTAGCTTATCTCCATGAAGAATCAAGGTTGAAGATTGTGCACCGAGATATCAAGGCTACCAATGTATTGCTTGATAAGGATCTAAATCCTAAAATATCTGACTTTGGTCTAGCTAAGCTTGATGAAGAAGATAACACCCATATTAGCACTCGCATTGCTGGAACTATGTAAGTATCACTGCTTCCAGTGCCTAAATATAATTTATGATAGGCATAGTTGTTTTACCTTTTATATGATGATTTAGTTATTTGATAACATGACATGGAAAATGCAATTTATGTATTACTAAATTTGCAGGGGTTACATGGCTCCAGAATATGCAACACGAGGTTACTTAACTGACAAAGCAGATGTTTATAGTTTTGGAATTGTGGCCTTGGAAATTGTTAGTGGAAGAAGCAACAAAATTAGCAGAACAAAAGAAAATAGCTTTTATCTTATTGATTGGGTATCAAAATCCTCATTTTTTCTTCCACTGCAATGTTCATTTTGTTAAGTCTTGGACCTCAAGAAAGCAACATTTTTCCTATTTGTAGGCTCTTCTTTTGAAGGAGAAAGGCAACTTGTTAGAATTAGTCGACCCGAGACTGGAATCTAACTACAACAAAAAAGAGGTAATGAGAATGATAAATGTGGCATTGTTATGCACTAACCCTTCTCCAGCTGGTAGGCCTATTATGTCTTCTATAGTGAGCATGCTTGAAGGGAAGACTGTTGTTGATGAGCTGAGCCTTGATCCTGGTACATCTATTGACTCGTTGAAGAAGTTTGATCAGACTCTTGAAGTAGAAGATACTCAAGAAAGCTTGACACAAAGTAAATCAATAGAACGTTTGCCACTTACCTCTTCTTCTTCATCTGCAGCTGATCTCTATTCAGTCAATTTAAGCTCCAATTATTGGCAGAACAAAGATTAGAATGTAGAGAACTTTGCAAATCATCTCGCAATTGGCCTTAAGAACATTTACAAGTGCTTAAATTAATTTGAACTTCTTATTGTTCAAGTCTGTAGAACATATGAGGTTAAAGCATAGGTTTAAATTGTGGAACCATTGTAATATAGTTTGATATATTGTTGCAGAAGTGTGTATCAGGCATAAACTATAAACCAAATTGTGAAAAACAAATCGTATACGGTATCCCTTTTTTGTGTTTGGTTCTGAATTAGAATCTTTGCTGCTGTAAGATATGAAACTATGATAATCAGGCAACTAAAATTTGATCCCACTTTGTACCAAGGGTTGCAATCACCTAAGGAAAATAAAAAAATAAAATAAAATTGACTGTAATAAAAGTTGCTAACAACCCTTATTTCTTTGGAATGGACCTAACTAACAACTCTCTGGGCGAATCAAACTGTCGGCAGCACAAGTACTTCTTGTGTGCCTTAAAAAGGACTCAAACTACTGTTCAAGAGTAATTGGTTCAAAGGTTAGTTTATTAATTTCTCAAAAAAGAAAAGTTAGTTTATTGAAAAGAATTTTATTGAAAAGGTAGTTTCCGAGAGTGTTACATGAAAAATTAAAGGATTTTTCTAAAGGATATAAATTAAAAGTGTAATTAATATATCTTTTACCTATTAATATATGTAAAAAAAATTAAAAGTTATTATTAATTTAAACATTAATGTCAAATGCTTTAATTTAATTGGTTAGTTATTAAAATTAAAATCAAATTTATTCTATGTAATTTAATAATAAAAAAATATTAATTACTTTCTTTACTTGTGCCCTTAACGCACAAATTAGAAAAACCTGAAATTAAAATGTATGAAAAGTTATTATATTTTATAATGCCGTTTTATTATACGAATTTTATAGAGTTACTAATTTTTTTGTATTTTTTAGGAAATTATTATAAAAAAAATTGTTAAGTGAGTTTGATATAAGGAAAATTATAAGAATTTTTTTTTTCAAAATGAAAAAAAAAAAACTTTACAGGTTAAGAATTGTATTAAAA